TGCATTTATATTATTTTTCTTTGAAAAGATAGATGTCTTCGAACAAAACGAGTTTTGACCTATCGCTACATGCTTGTATGCGTAAAATTTCCTAACGTGTAATTGCATGTAGAAACAGTCATTTAATAAAAAACACAAAATGTGCTTATAGGAAATAAACCTCGGAATATATGTTGTAGTTTAATATTACATGCATATAAAATGTGCCTTTAAAGAAATCGAAACGTATTACCTATCAATTTTATTTTTAAAAGCTTAAACAATTAAATGGAGTAATTATTTTGTTTGATTTAAAAATGTTTCAACAATTATTTGAATGATATTGTAATTAAGTTTTTAACATTTCGTATTTTATGTTTAGTATTACGATGACAATAAAGACAACAAACTTTCCATGGCCGAGCTAACCAAGTTGACTTTGAAACACGTCCCAAAACTAACAACACAAACTTTGGCTTGGGGAAAATTCGTGGACACCAACAAGGACGGCGCTATCAGCACTGCAGAGTTTGACGCGGTTTTCAAAGCTATGGATAGCAACGGGAATGGGAAAGTTGATTCAGCTGAGTATAATGCGTAAGTTGTTTATTCCATATCACTGTAGATTGTTTTTGTAATACTGCATACTCGTGACGGTAAATCTTGTATAAGCTTGGGAACAAATAAAAACTAAACACAACACGAACACGAACACAAACACAACACAAAACAAAAACAACGCAACACAAACTTAACACAACATAAACACAACACAACCCGAACATAACACAGCACAAACTTAACACAAACGCCAAAAGCAAAACACAACACAAATGCAAAACAAGCACAACACAACACAAACACTACACAAACACAATACAAACACAAAGTAAACACAAACACAACGCAAACACATCACAAAAACAACACAAACACATACACAACTTAAACACAAACACAACGAAAACAAAACACAAACACATCACATACACAACAAATACACAACTCAAACAAAAATAAAAACACAAACACAAACACAAAAGAAAACACACAAAAAACACAAACACAATGCAAACACAAGCGAAAAAAAAATAAAACACACAAACACAAAAGACAACGCTCATAGATTTGCATTCAAATTTTGCTAATTATATTTTATATTTTAGCAAGACTAATTCTTTTATGGAGGTCCGTAGATTTTGGAGCTTCGCATCACAAATGCAAAAAACAAAACAGAAAAAAACAAACACAACACTCATAACATAAACACAATTTAAATGCGCCCGTGGCGCTCAATCGCACCCTGTCCAAGCGCCAGCTTCAGCGAATTACGATAAAAAACCCAACCTGTACACAAACGGAAAGTTAGATTAATAATTAGTAAACAGTTCTTTCAGTGCAAACAATAAATAAAAGGCAGTATTTAAAATATCCGTGATTTACCTACTATAATGCATTTTATCAATTCATGCATTTAACCATTGCGCACCTAATGAACGTGATGACGCGTCTATAACATTGCGTAGTAGTTAATTTAAAAAGGTAAATAGTAAACAGGACGTTTATTCGATAAAATAAAGAAAACAGCCTTTTATCAATTGGTGCTATTTGTGATATTTCAACAACAATGTCCTATTGCAATAACGTCCTCTGCATATTTGCATTCACATTTTGTTGATTATATTATGCAAACAATAATTCCCTCATGGAGATTTTGCATTCACATTTTTGTATTAGTATGAATAGAATTATTTTGTTATTACATTCCTTGGCAAAATTACAAAACAAAAAATTCATTCATTCATTCATTCATTCTACCCTACTATTATTAAAATGTATCTACTTTTTCTAGGTATCAAAACGAAAATGATATTTGACATTGATCCGTTTAGCATGTTTTAGAGATTTGCTTGTATTTAATATTTTCTCTACGTAATGCGAAAGAGTAAAAACTGTAGCAACTATAAATAAAATTTAAGACGTTGTATAAACAAACCCTACTCTGTCATTTATAATAAGACACTGCCGTGCACTGAAAAGCACTGCATGGTGCGATGTTTATTTTTATGGTTCCAAAATCGGTAGGGAGACTCACGGACGGACTGAAACACAACCTCCGCGGTATATTATATATTAAATATCTTTATATATATATATATATATATATATATATATATATATATATATATATATATATATATATATATATATATATATATATATATATATGCGTGTGTGTGTGAGCTTGTATATATATATTTTATGCATAACTATGTACAGAAAGAGCAAAAGAGGGAGAGAGAGAATGAGAGGGACAGAGAACAATCTTAGAAACAGATTATTCCAATTCTGGTTATCGAAAGCGATGTGCAGACAATGCATTGTTGTTGCTTTTTTTCTTATCCAGGTACGTGGGAAAGATTGCATCGGTAATTTGAGTCAAACTTGACAAATCATCACTGTGCTAACCCAGTACGTATACCTAATCGTCTTTTAAGTGAAATTAAAGGCATTAAACTCATCCAATTTTGTCTTTTAAATTATTGTCTCCACGAAATTGTAAACATTTCTTTTTTTATTTTACATAGCAAATGAGAATAAAAAATTAAAGTCGATCACTCACCAAACCAGTTCACCCAACAACAAACTCAACTATGAACCCTAGTCTTTAATCTTCACACCACGATTTGCTTCCCATGTTTCCATACAACTCACCCAATACTTTGCTTCCCATGTTTCCATACAACTCACCCAATACAGCTCACCCCACTTCACACATTTAAAATGCAAATGCAATCACTCATGACGACATTTAACGAATTGAAACTTTGCTATGTGCCTGAAATTTTATAGTCCGCTCTTTGTTTAGTGATCTATATATATATTAGCTCACTTGACATAATAGTTCAGTGATCTACAAGTTTACTTACCTGGTCTATTTGTTGTATGATCTAAATTTACGAAATAAGGTTCAGAATTATTTTTTTCTAATACAATGTGTTATCAAATTGCTTTTGGCATACTAAAAGTATATGCCGAAGGACATTTTGTTTTATACATTTTAATGGCCTATACTCTTCTTCTTTGTTCTTAATTGTTAGTGTTGATCTTATATGCCTGAAGCTTTGAACATTTTTTTTTCGAATTTATCAACTATGAGGTTTGCCGACTCGACCACGCCTCCATCACAAATAATGTTACGTGTCAACTGGTTATGCGCCATTGAGGCCATTGGCTCCGATTTCTTTTTGGATTTACTTTTGAAATAGAATATAATCTCTTCAAAAAAGAATCGCACAACAAGAGAACGAAAAACAATAATAATAATAGTATTGCGGAATACTAATAATACTTTTTTACGTTTTTTTAGGAATCGAAAAAAAGCGTAAGTTATTACTTTTAGTCAACGAAAATTACTCAAACTTTAAGAGGTAGATAATTAGATATTTTACTAGATGTGCAATATTGTTTATCTATCTAAAGCAGTATCTAAATTATAGATTTTGGAAACATTGAAAGCAGAAGAAGTTCAACTTACAGTTATCGGAAATCCCTCAAAAGTTGAAGCAGAACTACAAATTTGATATTATTCTCATTAAAAAAAATATTCTTCAAATTTAAAACAGGCGCCTCTGTTGGCGCCCCGTTAGTGTTCGATTTGACGCCCTGAGCTATGCCGTGAGCGCTGTGGTGCATAATTTTGTGATATACTATGGATAAGAAGGGTTACTATAGACTTTATCGAATCCCGGCGTACCCCGGTGCCCCGACAGGCTGGCTTACTGACAACTGTGAAGGCTTTCAACAAAATTACTTTCATTTACAGCGTAAATAATAATTATATTACTTAAAACTTGTGAAGGCAGAGTAGCAGAATACGCTATCTTTAATTGCTTCACAACAGCTAATAAATCTATCCATATTACCTTATCTAATACTTCAACCGATCGTAGTCCAAATGGAATACGATCGATAATTCTCCTTTAGCTTAAGAAAATAAACCAGCCCAGAAAGTTGTTTACTATCTCTGGACCGTAAGGAAATAACTAGATCTAAGAATTTAGGAATACTTAAACTTGGAAAACAATTTAGAAACCGGACGATCGACCACTACATGTTACGTACTTCTACTACTAAATTATCTTTCGTAACATAAAGTGGTCGCTAGTCCGGTTTCTGAATTGTTTTTTCAGGCATGGTTTAAGGACTGAATCTAACAAAAACCTATCAATTAACTGCTAAAAACAGAAACTCTTTATAGACTCGATATCTAATGTCTAGGGAACAATTATAAATAAAATGAACTCCTGAATCCAATAGAACTTTTAATCAGACAGAAAGCTTCTAAAATCTAACAAGTTTGAACTAACTAATAAAATACAATGAAGAAAACATATGATAGTATAAAACCCACCTTACTATTTCAAGAATAACACATTAATCTCTTAATAAACTAACACTTGACAAAGTACCAAATTAATCAACTCAACCTTCACTCTAGGAAAATAAGAAACAATATACACTAAAACTTTAAGGAAACTTGTGCCTAGTCTAAAAATTACAACATGGACGACTTTGGCTCTCTCTCTCTGTGGTTGTTTTCGCCTCGTGTTCTTAAACTCTTCCATTTTATATTTATATAAATAAAAAATTATGTGATATCGTCACAAAGGTCAAGGACGATCGGGAAGGGCTCAAACACAAGTAATACGAGCACAGTTGTGAACACCGTCACATGAGTCTATTGGAAAATTACGTTGTTTAATAAATGAGAGCTTAAGGCCATTTGAGTATTACCCAAAATAAACTATTAAAAAGACCTACGTAGGTCACACCTAGCACCAGCCTTTCCGTGTAGACTAAAATATCGTTTTTGACTTTTATAGTACATATTAATTTCAATTAATGGACTCTCAGGATACATGTATAAAATCTTATGAATTGAATCATATATTTAAATCAAATTTTAGTTTTTAATTTCTATTTTAAAATCTATATATTTTTGTTAATCCCCCTCTGTGGTCAAAGCCCCGTTGTGGACAAAACTCCTATGGTCAAACCCCCGATGGTTAAGCCCCCTATGGTCAAATCACCTGTGGTTAAAGCACCCAAGACCCTTGAAAAAATGCATATAAACTCAATAGTTTAGTTTCTCAAAACGAATAAAGAAAAAAAACATTACTTTCTGGCCCATACTGAAGCAAATCATTAAATTTTAAACTAGAATGAAGTAGAGGAGATGTGTAGGCTTATTTAGGACGGTCAAAGATGAATGAACTCGAGGAGTTTGAGCTTTGTTTCTGCCTCTTGCAGCACGACTGGATGCTCACACGCGGTCATTTTTAGCCCACGTCAAGGGCCTAGATTCGGACAAACAATTATTTCATGCGGCCCAGTCATCTATTGAGGTGCTTACAAAAAATTAAACAGATATATAGAGGTTAATCACCTTACATTTTGTGTTGAAATTATGTTATTCTTCACATATAATACAAACATTAAAATAGGGAAATATGACGTGTCAGGATTGAGCACTTTTGGAAGTTTTCTTAGATATGGCGAGTTTTTTCTGACACCCCTAGATGTTTTTCCCCCACCTTACAAAATGTCAAGGGGTTTCGTCTATCAACGTTCTTTTCGTTATATAGCTCGAATAAGAAAATTTTCACTCGCGGTCAGCTGTTAGTCTTTGTCAAGGTGCTTTCAAAACTAGTCTTTACGGGCGACCGACACAGGCTTTTCTATAGCTCGAAGGCAGGAGCCTGCTAAATTTGAAGTGCCTGAGGTGCCTGGAAACGCCATGCCGAGTACCTGAACCACTCTACTTACTTAACTTACTTAATCCTCATCACTCCCTCTGGAGTATAGGGCAGCAACGAATCTCCGCCGTTGTATTCTGTCTTGGGCCAGCCACTTTGATTCATGCCAGGTCTTGCCAGTAGCCAGCATTTCTTCTTCCATCTCTTTCCTCCATGTTCACAGTGGTCTTCCTCTCTTTCCCTTTCCAGGCGGAGTCCACTTAAGCGCCATGTTGGGGAGTCTTCTTTTGCTCATTCGAACTTCTGAAACAATGTCGTTTATACCTGGCCTATTTTATAGTGACCCCCACGGGTATATCTACGACTTTAGGAGTTTTGAATGTGTGTAAACGTCCCGTATTTTTATTTGTTTTTTTTGTCTAAAAACGGCACTATGTTCGTTTATACAAATATGGCCTCTGGTCAGTAAAAATATTGTTCCGAGGTTGTCCCAAGTGTAGCAACATTTTTGGGAATGTATTTTTGATATATAGCCCTTATATAAGGAGTTTATTTTACTCGTTGTCACTTTTTAGCACTCGCCTTGCGCACATAAGCTGACCGATAGTTTGTCCATATGACCGATTCATTTATCCATGGTTTACTTAAAAAATGAGCCCTATGTACAGAGCTAAAAATGTTTAGAAAGCAGTCATCGATTTTCACAAAATTAATAATGTTTATATAGGGAAAATTCGAACCGGTCACTTCTACAGACCTTCCGGAGTTTCGGAAAAAATATATCAAAGGTGTTTTTTTTTGCCACCCCCAGGTCCTGTCTTCGACCTCAGGAATTATAAAGATGTTCCAAAGTTTTTTATATTTAGTCCATACAAAGTGACGGTCAGTCAAGGTAAGTTTTGACCCCCTCATCGTAAATTTTGCGGCCAAGCGGCACCAGCCTCAGGCTTATATTGCCCAAAGGCAGGATCCTGTCAACTTTGAAGCGCATGTGGCACCTGAAAGTGCACTATCGGGTACCCGGTGTGACCTATTTAGGTCTTGTATTTTTTTTTGTTTAACATTTATTAATCAATCATGGGTGACATGTGGTGTAGTCACCGGTATTTTTCCATAGTTTCAAGAAAGAGATATACCCGGTACTTTTTCATCAAGAGATGTGGTGCAATACTCCTATAATTTCGATTGGTTAATTCGGACATCGGCGATGGCCTAACCAATAGTCTTATGACTTGAAGATGACCTTTCATATTTCCTAAGTTGTTAAATACCGTGCGCACACGCTTCTCTGGGCAGCAGCAGTCCCTACCAGACATCCTGAGAGAGAAAGCCGTGTGTGTCGCCATTTCGTAGTCTATAGTTTTAAAGCAGCATTTTTCCTTTATTGCTTGTGGTTAAAGTAATATTGTGTGCTTTAAGTAGTTTTGTATAAGCTGTGGTGATTTTCCTAAGTGTAACATAGTGTTTTTTCTTCAACTTGTAAAATGGGTTTTTGTTTATTCTGCTCGTTCATTATATTCTGTATAAAGCTAGAGTCTTATTTTGAACTTCTACACATTTTAAAGGTTATATATAGATTAAAAGTGTTGTTGGTATCAAGAGTTCTTCGAGTTTATTCCCTAGACGTTAAGTACGAGTCCTCTGTAAATTTTTGGATCAGCTACCTTATTAAAGCTATGAGCCATCTGTGTGTTACCCTTTAAACGAACCCGGGTACGTTCGCCAGCTCTGCGACTGTTAGAGTGATGTTCGTAATAAGTGG